AGTTAATGCTACTAAAACATGCTAACACGTTACAATAAGTATGTAACATGCATAAAACTAACCCAGGCTGACAGTTTGATACTTTTTTGTTTTAACTGTCTATCATGAGTCCAACAATGTAGTAGAAGTGAAAGTGAAAGTCGCAGGAGCACTCTTTTAACATAACAACTTGGCAGCAACATGTCCTCTAGTGCCACCCTTTGCTTCTATTTCAGATTGATCCCTCTCTGGAGGAGGAGGAGAAGGGCTTCACTTTGTCCCAGCCCAGCATCCAGCTGCAATGCTCTGAGGACTGGACCAGTAACAGAGAAGACAACCACAGCGCGTGTCAGGATGCCTTGCCTCCTCCATCATCTTTACCTTCCTGTTCACCTTCCCCCTCTCCACCATCCAGACGTGAGGAGGGCCTGCACTCCTCATTAACCCTGCAATGTGCTGAGCAATGTGTAGCACCAATCCACCACAGCCTCAGCATCTCACATGGCAACCCACCCTTGCTCCTGTCTCACCACGTCTCCTTGGGTCTCACTACGGTTGCTGTGGATGTCCATTTTTACCCAGCGGCCACTGCTTCGATGGCAGTAGACACTACCACTCATATCAATTCAGTCTCTAATTCCACTTCAGTGGCTGGGCCTCTCTTCAGTCCTCCATTAGTTAACAGTCGGGAGAATGACCAATCAGCTGCCAGATGTCATCAGTGTAAGTAGCTACAGATTAAGGCATCAAGTCATTTGACATCCTCATGTCAACCACCTCCAACTATGACTTCACCACTGCACCCATGATGAGAAACATATTGATATAACATGAGGAATTATATTAAATTAATAGTTCATCATCTTGGGAAGTATGCATATTTGTTTTCTTGATGAAAGATAAATGATTATAAGACAAATTAACTTTAGTTATGTGACATATTTCTGAGTAAAATGAAAAAAAAATTAAAAAAAAGACACTAAGAAATTGTCATAAACTTGTTTTAACATCTTTGCTTGTGTGCAGCTTAAATGAAAGATATATAACATGATAATTACTGAGCTTTAGAGGGGCTGCTATGAGGCAATTTTTTAACTTTATTTTTAATTATCTCATTTTATTTTTGAAACAGGCTAGCTGTTTCCCCCTGCTTCAAGCCTTTATGCTAAGGTAAGATAAAATAACCTAAGCTAAGCTAACTGCCTCGTGGCTTCAGCTACCAAAGGAGCTATTTGAAAGTTTTCCTATTGCTACATAACCAACATTAGCATTAACAGCTGTTTAGAAGAGATGTTGTGAGTTTAGTATCAAACTTCATTCCTTTACTTACCAAGAGCTGTCTGCAGCTTCTTTTCTTGTACCTGTAGTTACCAACTTTCCCTCTTGTCATATAAATTTACTGATGGCTATAGTTTTCAGGAAGATGTAAGGAAACAGCTGTTAATGTTAATGTTTGCCATGTAGCGATAGCAAAACTTAATGCACAGTATGTAGGCAGTTAGCTTATCTTAGCTTAGTTTATCTTGGTGCGGTGTTGATCTTCTCGTCTAACTCTTGGCAGGACAGCGAATAACAATATGTTGAACTATTCCTTTAAAAAAAAAACACCTACATTCTGTATTAGCATCCACATCTTTTTGTTAATGTGTATTTCATAGATTTAGTACAGCATTTTATGTCTCATGTCATGTTACATGTTTTACTCGCTACTTCTGAATACAACTACAGTTTTACAATGAATAGTCTTGTTTTTTATTGTTTTAATTCTCTATTTTATTAATGGAACATGAAAGAGAAAATGTACACGTGTAGTATTAATTTTATTATTATTTACGTAGGAGACACATTTCACTCTGATTCAAATTATGTAATTGGTTATAGGTTAGTTCAAGTAAAAATGTGTTGTACAGTAGAGACATCTTTAGTGAAACAGCCAAGGATACATTACTTTGTCAGAAAATATTGCAATTTTTGTGACAGAACTTGTTCATTGACCTGCTCATTCTCTTGATATCAAGCTACTTGACTGTTAAATCTTTTTTTTAAACCAAAGGAAGATACATTTAGACAAGACAGCCAAAGTCTTTGGTGACATTTTTGTATGTACCTCAGACATGGCCATGTGACCCTTACTCTCAAAATAAAGCATGCTTTCATTTACTGAATACATGCTTTATGACAAAGAAAAATGTTAGTTGCTGCACCTGATTAAAAAGCTCTAACTTTAACCATGTGCCCCAGACCTCATCACTCCAGAGCCTGTGTCAGTGTCTACTGAGTGGTCAGTTCACATGGTACTCACACAGACTAGTGTTTCACATCTTTATAATTGAACCAAAATATAGAAACTGCTCTGCTATATGTGATTTAATGTAAAACAGAATGAGACATTTCTCCCCTGGCATCAAACAGACACAAATTATTTAACTGGCTATTTCTTAAAGGCTATTACTTTTGGCAGTTGAAAGTATTTTCAATTCATTGTCTTCTTTGAACACCTATAGGTGTAAGTTTATGTGAATGTCAATGAGGGAAAAGTATTTAGCTGTTTAAAATAAGCATCAATAGAATGCAAAAAAAATACTTAATTACAAACAAAAGTCCTGCGTTCAAAATTTTATTTAAATCAAAGCACAGGAGTATAATCAGCAAAAAAAGTGTAGTATCAAAAGTATGCATTATGAAGAATGGACCATGTCAATGATCAATACATATTGCTGATTTGTTATAAGCAACATTTTTATGTTGTCACTGGTGGAGCTAATTAGAGCTTTTTAGTTTAATCAGTAATAATGCATCACATTTAATTTTTAAGTCATCAAATGTCGCCTAACTATTAAGTGTAGCTCTCAAAATGTAGTGAAGTACATTATTTTCCTCTAAAATGTAGTGAGAGGGAGTATAAAAGAGCAAAAAGTGGAAACTATTCAAGTAATATGGTATTAACAGGTTTGACAACAGGTAGGTGGTCAGCGAAGCAAATAAATCCAAGCACAAACAAGGGACAGACTGGGGCAGAAAACAGGCGGCCAGGCTGAGAAAAGGGCTGGAATACTTTGGAGAGAAGGACAGGTGAGCAGATACACTGAGGGGTTAATGGGATGATGAGAGGCAGGTGTGTAGTCACAAGGTAATCAGACAACAGGGGAGAGGCAGGTGTGTAGTCACAAGGTAATCAGACAACAGGGGAGAGGCAGGTGGGCTGGTCAGATGAGGACAGACAGCGCTTGGAAAACATAATGAATGGGATGAATAAATTAGCCCAAAGTAAAAAACTTCAAACTAAAACTTCATTCCAGCTCATGGTTGTTTTGAAGATCAGCACAGGTCATAGTTTAGTTTCAGGAGATGCTTTTATACTCCTGCCAGACGGAAATAAGTGCCATTTTCTTACCTTGTTCTGTGACAAAAGAGGTTGAGGACTGCTATCACTGTGTAGCCATCAAGAGAGAGACAATCAAGCACCAACTCTCTATAGTCTGTAGAGTCAATAGTTGAATCACTCTTTGAAGAGTAATAGATCCTTTTCACAGCAGACATATTGACTTGTCATGGTAGGAAATACACAGCTTTTTCTAATACCATTCACAAATGCTCCCATTTGTTTTTGAGTCCTAGTCATAGACTGTAAGTCATGACAGTGTGAAGGTATGCGCTACACTACAAACCTGCAACTCATGCAACTAAATAGGACTCCATTGTCAAGTCCTAAAAACATAAGCTGAAAATCTTGTGTTGTTGCCCTCTAGAAGCTGAAAAGCTCACACCCTCAAAGTGATGTGCTGCTTCATCACTGCTGAGTGAACAAGTGCAGCGACAGCATTCAGCAATGTTAAAATTGAAACCCATAGAGGTCAGTACAGCCATACTTTTCTTGTTCTTCATTTACTTAACCTTACTGTGAGACTGAATCTAGCCCAGACAGTAAACCAAAAATATGTTTTAGGTAGATGTGTCTTTAAAAATGTAGCAACAGTAGTAAATTCTAAAGTCCACTCGAGTATGTTATGTTTGCATCCTGCTGTTTGAATCATATTTAATTGACTTTGAACATTATTATAGTAAGAGATGTAACTTACACGACTGAATGAATGATTTTATCTGTTGTTTGGTACTATACCGGCTGCACAGTACATTCTTCATCATTGCCTCCATGACACAGCAGTTTTGGTTTCATGGTGTACCGAACGCAGCAACTCAACACTAAAGTTGTGTAAATTTATGTATGTAACACCTCTTTAAATTTGGGACAGCAACAAAACCACATTAGTGTGTGTGACCACATAATCATACATAACACCACCCTCTGTTTCCTGTTACTCTGTGTGAATTCAGACACAGCACATTTAGCCATTTTGTACAGAAACTTATGTGACAACTATGATAGTGGCCCCATGAGGCTCTACCTCAGCTAAATGCTGATGTGACCTGCTAACATGTTCACGATGACAATGCTAACATGCTGACGCTAAGCAGATATAATGTTTACCTCATTTTTGCACGGTACCATGCTTGATAAGAAAAGTCAGTACAGTCTGTAGGATTCATCAATTTTGTGCCAATGCATCTGGTAGATGTTGAGATATTTTGCAGGATAAGTGAAAACTTTGACCCACTGGTGGCGCAAACAGAAAAGTGACAGGAGCCACAAAAGTCAAAGGGATTCATCGTCAATCTGTCAACTAAATACTGAACAATTTCAGTCTGCCATCCTCAGAGCCACGCTGCTAACATAGCTGAAACTGTACATGAATTTAAAAAGCTATTAAAACCTGTGATGGTTAAAACCTGTAATAAAATGGTGTGTCTGTTTTGGCAGCCACTTCAACCAACTCCCTTGCTTAAGAGTTCTTAAGAACATCACCTAACCCCAAAACTGCCCCAGTGGAGCTGCTCAGTGCCCAACTATCAACTGCTATTTTAAATTGCAACATTTTCTTTTGTACAGATTATCACAGATCCATGGGATGACTGAAAATTGTTTGCATTTAAAATACAGTGAATTCTCTTTCAACGTGTAATTTATTTTGAAAATGAAATAAGACAAAGGAAAAGTAAGATAAAGAACAAATCAATCACTCAGGTATACCATAATCAAATTCAAATTCATTTCATTGGTCCAGAGATTTTGCTAAATGGTAATGTATACATTGATATCAACAGAAAAGAGTGTGTACAATTTGTCAGCTGTATTTTCAGGAGGTATATATACACTGTACTATTCACTACAGGCAAGTGCACAAGTGAAATCACCCTTTCTCTCCTCCAGTCTGAGTGGGATTATGACAGAATTTACAACACACATATAATAAAAATGACTGTGATTAATGCAGTCACCAGGTGAATATTCATTAAAGTTCAGTAGATGGTTTCCTCGGTTTTGCCTCCTCCTCATTGCGTGGAACATGAAAGTCCACGTACGGACACCACTTGGTGTTGAGACACACCAGTTTCTTCAAAGTGGAAGTTTTGACGATATTGAAGCCTGTCTCTCCCCCGAAGGTGCTGGGCTTCCAATACTCAGGGGAGCAGATGGGGTTTCCCAGCAGGCCTTTCAGGGAGAAGGGAGCACCCATCTCAACCATACTCTCACCAAATATACCATTCGGACGTGCTTTCTCCAGCATGACTCCAGGGTAAAACTCCAAAGCATCAATGTCCCCGTAGAGTTCCTCTAAACCTCTTGCCATTTCTTTGTCATCTGTACGGAAAAGATAAAACAACTGTTGATTAACTTAGTGGTTGTTTGTTGTTGTATCATAGACATCCCTGAAAGAGAGCAGCCTCATAGAGCTGCAAACAGGGCTGTAAATTTAGGATTTTCACTTTTTTTCTACTTTTTTTTTTTAAAACTAATATGAAACACTTGCTACGTCTGACTGCAATGTGCTCTAATGCCAATTCCCCATAGTGCAGTTTGCAGTTTGGAGGATGTGGCTGAATAAAAGGACATTTGTACCAGCTTGTTTTAGCCAGTATGAGAAGAATTATCAGTAGCAACTTGCAGTTTTTAAGTTTTAGGAACCGTTTAAGAAATTAATTGACGTATAATACAAAGTAATATCAGTATTTTGCTACAAAATAATGATTTCTTTACCCAGTGCTGCTCAAATCAGATGCAAAAGGACGTTACAGTTTATTAAATTCCACACATCAGCTCAGGTTGTGACTCTTTTTCACTGATGTAACTTGTGAAAAAGTAAGTGTGTTTGTAACAGAAACAGAAACATTCTCTCAAAGGAAACAAGAGTTACCACAGAACAAAACAACAATTTAATCTCTGCAATGATAATGACATTTTTTGACTATATACCAAACTGTGGTCAAGATGTTGCCAACACATCCTGCTGATTCATGCCTTAGAAAATAACAGTTAAGATGTTAATCCAGTGTAAATGAGCATCAAGTCAAAATTGCAAATGCCAAATTTCCCTATCTACACATGAACGAGATAAACAGGCAAGAAACTTGCAGAAGGAAGTTGTTGTTGCAACATTATTCCTGCTTACCAGTAAACTCAGAAAAAGAGGTGTATGGCCTCAGATTAAACTTCTTCCTGTACTGATTGAAGGGCTGCACACGTGCTGTTCTGGACTCTTTGATGACCATTTCTGCCACTTTGAGAACAGCTTCATGAGAGTTGTGACCTCCACCAATCTGAAAGACAAGGAAAGTTACAATATAATTTTAATCAACTGTTCTGTAATATCTTGAACCAAAGAACAAACAGGTAGAGGTAAACAGTCCCTCCTCTTGCTGCTTAGCTGGCAGAAGCACTCCACACTGTGTGTCTCAGCAAAAAGGATGCATCACTTTGCATGCATATGATGCTGCTGAAAGGCTGTATATGAGTGTAATCTCGAGGAAGTAATTTTGAGAGGAAGTGCACTTTAATGTGGAATTGAAAAAAAAAACCTAGTGGTTTAGTGGTTATAAATATGTGTTGGGTGACATGTAACACCATCACTGATCTAAGTGAGAGATCTTTCCTCTATCTTTCACATAGAAGTGAGCAGAAAGACTAAATGACAGAGCAGAGGAGTTCTCTTTCCTGCTCATATATTCTGTTCTTCATAAATTCTTTATTTCTGGGTTCATGGTGTACTCACTATATGTCCCTTTGTGTTTTCTTTAGGACAAGTTAACTTACTAAAAGTGTTTGCATCCAGAGGGTTAATGGGGTTTGTAATGATCATTGTGATACAACATACTGAATATAACATATTCAAGTGAATGGGAAAGTGGTCTCAGACTTTTGAACCCCACTGCATATTATATTAGATATTTTTGGGCATTTCTGCTGTTTTATTTTTTTCTAACTACGACAGGGAAGGCAGCGGAGTGAGAGAGGCCTCAATCCTGATACATCATACATGCTTAACAAGGTGAGATACTGGCATGCCCATAATGCAACATATTTAAGGCAAGAAAGAGGGACACATGATAAAGAAAAGGTCAACTTCCTCCATGGCATTTCCCGTCATATATATGTATTTTCAATGTGATATATGTCGGCCTAATTTTCATCGACCAGTTACGGCACAGATGTGATTTATCCACTTTGAAGTATTACGTTCAACTGACACCACATACAATCATTGTCTTTTTGCATTAAAAAATAACGACAATGTGTTCTGAGGTTCAGGATAAAATGTATGCTTATGTTTATAACTTATTTCAATTAAACTAAGAAGACTGTAGCTAGTTTTGACCTGTTGTACACCAGTACAGGATGTGATGCCACTACCTGTCCTGCAGGCTGTCGAGAGAAAGCATCCACCAGTTTCTCCACCCCGTAATGCGTGAGGAGTGAGGTGTTGTACAAAAACTGGGAGTATGTGATTTCATCTCCGTCGATGAGGAAGCTGTCAGGCATCAGAGGGTGCCAGTGGTAGAGCTGGCAGAACTCCAGGGCGATGCGATTGCTGTACTGGAAACGCACATTGAAGAGCAGGGAGGGGTCAAACTTCAGCTTCAGCTGGTAACCACTCAGCTGCTGCACATACTCCTCTATTATAATGTTGATGATTTCCCCTGGGGGTCAAAAAATAAAACCATAACTTGATGTCACACACTGTGTCAAACTTTATCAACATAAAAAACATTTAGAAGAAACACAAGGATGGAAATTTGAACTGTTGTTAAAAGTGTGTGCAACGATTACTTGACTAATCGATTGGTTGATTGTAGGGCTGCATCTAACGATTATTTTCAATGTTAAACGTATATACATAGTTAACCTTTTCAGGAGAATGTTTAGGATCCTGTGCCTTGACATTGATGTGTCATTTTTCTCCCTTTTCTTTCCCTTTTCAAATTGTCACAATCTCCCGTTCTGTTCCTGAGTTACGGCATTGAATAATGGCCAGAAAAGTGTTTTTGCAGAACAGAGATAAGATGTTACAGTGGAGTTGACCTTTGACCTTTTGGATATAAAATGCCATCACTTCATCATTTTATCCTATTATTACTCTTTTTATGTCCAAAAATATGTTTTGTGAGGTCAAAGTTACCTTGACCTTTGACCTTTGACGACAAAATCTAATCAGTCCGTCCTTGAGTCCAAGTGAACGTTTGTGCCAAATTCCCTCAAGCTGTTCCTGAGATATCTTGTTCATGAGAATGAGATGGACAGACAACTGACATGGAGTCATAAAAAAACTTGTCAAAGCTCAAGGATTTTTTACTGATTTTACTGATACTGATAAATTACTGATGGTATTCTCTTTTTAATAACTTCTATTTTTTTTGTTGTTTTTGATATTGAATGCTTTCATTGTGAAGCCCTTCACTAAGCAAATGTCATATAATTTATTTTCTTACTTACTATGTGGACTGCACTTAAAAGGGAAAAAAAATCTGTAAAAGTAAAGGTAAATTTTAAACTTGAGTTCTTTCACAAACCTATTAATAGTCAAAACTGATTGATGTACTGTAGGTTAAAAAATAGCAGTTTTTTTATTATTTGGTGACAAAGCAGTACTATATATTTTTTTAAATCATTCTGTCACAGACAAAGAAGATTTGCCAACGCTGACACAAAAATGTGACTTAAACCATATATGCATGTGCTGCTGAGCCCCTCACCAATTATGATGAGTCTGGTGGTCTGGAAAAGCTGCTCATCGTCCCAGGTGGGATGTTCAGCCTTAAGGACATCGCAGACTCTGTTGTGCTCCCTCAGCCATATGGTGGCGTACATGGTGAGACCCGGCAGGATGCCAAATAACTCCTGACCAGTGACCAGACGATGCTGTGGAGGGAAACCTTCAGGGTACACCATGTGCACAGGGGCCTCAGATACTGTAGGGGGGTACATCTCACCATTTACTAACTGTGGAAAAACAAAAACCATACACCATATGTCAGGGGAAAGTTTGAAAGATGAATCATGTGTCTTATTAGTTACTACGATTCTGAGCTAATTAAACTTTCGAATATCCCGTTTTCTTCAACTGGACAAATTCTCCCAAGCGTCTGCTCCAGTACAGATCATGGTTAGATGTGAAAACCAAATGTGCCAAATAGCTAATATGTCTTTATCATAAAACAACATCGTCAAGCAATGTGGCTTTCAGATAAGGTTTGAGATATGAGCGAGACTCCTCTCAATCACTTATAAAAAATGTTATCATGACACAGGAAGTGAAAGTTAAGGCTCATTACTCTTGAGATACAAAATACACAGCTACTGGGGGGATTCCAAAGTGACTACTACTGCAATTATTGTGTAATTTCACTGATATCATGCTGAATTATTAAATTTCTAATTACAAAAATATTATTTTTTACTTTCACAGAGTGGATGGAGCTATGTAGCATTTTTGTCAGCTGAAAATTTACTTATTGCCAAAAAATGTGTAACATTTACCATTGGGGCCTTCTAGACCTTCAGAGAAGCCCAAACACATTCTCTTCTGATTCTAATTTAAGCCTAATTTTCTATCAAATTTGCCTCAGAAATGTATTGTCCTAAAACTGTGAGAATAGTTATCCAATCAAATTTAACTTTTTTTTCCTATTCGTTTGTTGTCTCTAGCCAGAGAAAAAGTTAGCTGGCTTATTCATTAGTTAGGGGTTCATAACCAGGACAGAAGGCTTGAAGCCCCCACAGCTGCCTGTGTTTGTTTAAAAAGTGGCAGGTGAATTAACCATTCACATTTTTATTTATAGTGGGTCGGACCGAAAATCATTCCCCAGGCTTTACCAAAGGCTCAAGGCCAGAGGTCAGATTCTCAAATACAGACTGGAAAAAAATCGTATCACACTTGAACTGCGTAATTGCTACAATGGAACTCAGAGCATGTGGGGTATACCTATACCTATATATATCCCTATACCCCACATGCTCTGATATATATATATATATATATATATTATTTTTTTTTTATTTTTTTTTTTTACATTTTTGGACTTAGCAGAAGACTAATAATACAGTTCATTAGATTAATTCTGAGCGCACACTCCATTTCATAAGGTGGCAGTACTGCACTTAAAAGCTGTCAAAAAAACTGCCTAAAAACAATGCTGCTGCCATAAGAGACAGTTATAAATTTTTAAGTTCATTTAGCAATTTGATTTAAAATATAAGGATAAATTACGTTTTAAATAGAGGGACATTTTTGTTGATTAATATAAATAGTTAAAACATAGCTACACAAGAATAAATATTTAAAAAGACCTGTTTGATATTTCATAGGAACCTTAAGTGTTGTTTGAGATGGGCTTGTTATGGTGTTGCACCCCATGATCAGCAAGTGAGGTAGAAGGAAACTTAAGTTTGATATCATGAAGACTGGAACTACGTGAAGATTTGTAAAGCGTGGAGTTTCCTTCCTCACCGCCCTTTGAGTCAAGACGGCCAATGAGGTATGAAAGCTATTTTATGTTCTTCTATTATGGTCACATATTGATTATGCTAATGTTGTTCACGTGATAGCAACAATAATCCGTTAGCGTTTCAGTGAATGTAGCAAGCCGTTATTAGCCGTTATTTTAACACTGTGTGGCCTTTGACGCTGATGGATTGTGAACTTATATTTTGTCTGTATATTATGGTTGTAATACATCTGCTTGGTGGTTATTCTCTATGAGAATGCTCTGTATTATTGTAATGTACAAATTTATGATTTATGTATTTTATTTATTCAGCTCTCACGGCATATTTGACGGCATGGATGGGCCTTGTGCTCCTGATTCAACTTGAGGGGAGTAATAAACAACATCAGAAGAAGAAGTTGCCCGCTGTCTGCAATGGATTTCACATGACAGTATTCAGAACTTGGAATACTTGAATTGAAAATGAAAAACCCTGTTAAAGCTTTTGATCTGTGGACCCTTATGGACCAAATGAATATAAATACTCGAGGACAATCGGACTTCACCACCTGCAAAGGTAGGGAATTACCACCGTTTTGCTGTCTTGCTGCTTTATAATGCTGATAAATCTAAATTAATTATACTTTTGTACACATGGCTACTGTAAAATGAACCAAACAGTTGAATGCTTTGCAGGAGCTTTAAACTAGTTGTCAGCGACCTGGTGGATTTTAAGAGGGCTTGGTCCCCTTAGTTGTATGGCACAATTGTATGGGATGGTTATTAACCCTAGCTAGCTCTAGCTTTGTGTATTGTCTATGGGCTTTTAAAGATATACAGACATTTTGGGGAATAGCTTATTCACTTCCGTGTCAAGTTAGATTGATTTTGAGGTGGTCTTAGGCAGACTTTGTTACCAGACAGAGCCGGGTTAACTGTTTCCCCCATTCACAGTATTTATGCTAAACTAAGCTAACCAGCTGCTGGCTCCAGTTACAGTACTTCCAGACATGAGAGGAGTTTTTAAAGGAAGGACAGGCATCGCTATTGTTATGCAACTACAAAGAAGAAGTTCCCCAGTAGTTCCCAAAATTTCAAGCTGTTTCTTTACCTGATATTTCAGCTTTCCATCTTTATGAAGCCGGAGTTGAAGCTGCCGCATGAGGCTATCTCCATAAATATTACTTGCATCTACCTGAATGAGTAAGAGAAAAATACGTACTGTAGATTTAGTAATAAATTTAAAAGTCAAATACATGCACAATGAAAGCGATGTGGTTTGTGCTTAATTCTCAAAAGGTTTTATTGTTAGTTGTTTAATAATAATTAAATTCTGGTTGTACCTGACTGCTGACACACCATGTCAGTATGTATCTTACCCCATGTCCTAAAGCCTTGGTGAAGCCACCATGAACATCATGGTTTGTTTTGAAGAACTGGTGGGTGAAGTGCTGTGCCATGAAGGCAAACATCAGATTGGTTCCCTGGGGGTCTGGCTTAAATTTGGTTCTTCTAAAGAATCGCTCTGCCAACTCTTTGGGATCAGGAAGAACAGGTTTACCTGTAAATAAAGAAACATTTCAAGATATCCTCAAGCTTTTAATGTGAAAAACTGGAATTAATTAGAGTATGAAAACATAATTTCTGTTAAAAAGGAGAAACTCAGAGCAGCAGAGCGAGAATCGCATTATGTGTTGTTCTACTGATGAGTTAGAGCTGCGGAAATGGACATTATACTGAATTCAGCATGTGAGTTATTGTAATCTATACGTAATTCCCTTTTTTTCCGTTTTTTCCCTTTTCCGTTTTTATCTGGCCTTCATTATTAACCAGCCTTTATTTGATCACGCTGACCAAACAACAGTGATATATTATTTGGAGCTAAGCCATTATTTGAATAGTGGTTTTATATGAAAATTAACAGTGTTGTAGTCTCACCTTTAGCTCCCATTGGCAAAGGGCAGTCTTTAGGCACAGCAGGGAGGAGGCGGGTGTAGTAGGAGATGTTGTAGTAGGACTCCCAGTTGAGGTATCCGTATTTGGTATTGTATGTCGGAGGGCTTGGAATAAGGTCACTTCTGACTTTGGGGGAGGAAGAAAATATGTGGTTTACTACAAATTTCTTTTTGTTGTAATTTCCACATTTGCTGTTTTAGAACCTTTCATTGGAATGAATGAACCACCATGCTTGGACATCTAATTAATTCCCAAATAAGTAGCCTGATATCATTAGATTAAAAATGCTCTTACATGTAAGTGGCCTTGAGAGGTCACCTTAAGTTGATTAGTAGATCCTAAATGACTGCAATACATAAAAACAGCAGATTACCCCTCTGTTTTCTGTCTGATCAACCATGCGATCACTTGAGAGTTCCTCGTAAAAGGTTCTTTTACACTTTTGCTGTAAGTAAGAGGAAGTCACTTGCCCTACTTGTCTTCACACTTAGCGAAAAACGAGATAGAGATAGAGCTCCATTGTTGTCCAAAATCTATTCAAATATCAGTTAACCACACCTTTGCTCTGGGCGGCATGTTTCACCACTGTCCTCTTGCTGTAAATACTTAACAGCACAACAAATGTGTATTAATCTGCAGCTGAAAATAGTCCCCCATAAATACACAAGTGATGTTTGATTAAAAAAAAACTACAGCGCAAAGCTATTTTTCATCCCTTTTAAATGATTGAAACTATACATTTTTGGCCTGTTTTAATAACATTTTTAGTTGGAACCAGTGCGTTTATGGTTGAGTGAGACTGACACATTTTTTCTTTTCATGGGATTTTTGTCGATAAGAAAAGTATAGACTAACGTCAGACTTAACCTTTGACTATGCTTTCAGTCTGAGTGTTCTTGTAAGGCATGCAGCAGGTCAAAGTGAGAACTTTAACAACATTTAGCAAAGGAAATCACAATGCTTATTTAAACCAGTTCCTCTTGTGGGCTCAAACCAACTTTTGCAGTTACAAATTTGGTCAGGCACATTTTCTGAACTTGTTCTATATCAAGAGAAAAAATACTCCACATCCAGATGTGATGATTCATTTCTCATTACAGTCTATACATGAGAATTAGACTTGCCTTTCTTTTTTAATGACCTGTGCTTCTCACATTATACAAACATCAAACCCACCATGCCTCATCTAAAACAAGACTTTACAACATAGGAGTTAACCAACTATAATAATAATAATAATTGATAAAGGACTGATGACTAAAACTACTGTGAGTATGACTCCTCGAAATATACATGTTGTGAATAGGTAATGGGAAAATACTAGCTGCAAGCAAGTACTGTTGATTTATCTGTTGTGGTCTGTGATTCTGCTGATTGAGTGCCTTGTTTGGGGGATTTAATCTTATCACCTACCTGTCAGCACTAATCTCATGAAGGTATCTTGCAGGAAAGAGTTGTTGACCAGGTACCAGAACCACTGAAAGTGGGTGAGGATGTAGTGAACCGCTGTAGGGCTGGGCTTCAGCATGAGACGAATTCTGGTCCAGAACTCCGCTATACACAAAGATAAAAAATAAACTCCACTTTTAATAAAGCACCCTTTGTAAAGGGTTTGTAAGTTGTAACTAACTGGTTACAATCATCACTTTGGCTGGTGTTTATCCTCCTCCAAAATGATGTAATGTTTTTTTGCTCTTTACTTTATAGAGGGTACAGAGATGGTAGGCCATTTGACCTCTGACCTTCTGAAAAAAAGAAAAGTCCTTGAAAAGTTTCTGAATTTTATTACATTGATCTCAATTGCTGGTGCTTTCATTGCTGTGCACATACAAATAGATAAAAGTAAATAGGAAGAGAATGGAGAGAGTGGACAAGGTTCAGATTAGTGCAGTGTTTAAGTTTGGGGTTTATTTATGCTCAAGTCATGTTAAAATGAAAGTTGAACTTACAAAGGTACTTTTCCTTGGAGGAGACTTAGGCTGTGACTTTGAAATGAACCCACACCCACACGTCAATGCATAGATTTAGGTTGACAAATCAAATTTTGTTTCACTTACGAACAGTGCAGTTTTTTCCATAGAAGCCAGTTCGAGTGCAGTCACATTTGTAGCCGTCTGTACCAAATCTCACACACACTCCTGAGTTCTGACAAGGGTAGTAGCAACAGGGATTCACTGCAAACGAGGAAAACAATATCTTGCTTTGAATGAATGAATGAATGAATGAATAATAGGTGTGGTGTAGCCTAAACTTAATGACCAGATGGGTGGCACCTGGCCCCCCCTGGAATTTGATTAGCAACCCCTGGCGCCCTGCCCTTCCACAGTATGAAGGTGATAAATAGTTGGCTATCAGAACCTCTCTGTGTTGAGGTGTTACATTTCCTAATCAATGTTAGTCTTAAGTCTAAAGCTTAAGACAACCCTAGACTTACGTGAATTCACATTATCACTACGTCAGAAAGGGTAACCAGCTGTGGCCTAAAGGTCATCATCACCACTGATGGGCCTGTATGAGCAAAACTCACTGGAGCTGCCCAGCAGCCAACAGATCACACTGGTTGTACTGGGTAACTTTCCCGGGGTGAATGTGTGTAACCGTGAATACATGGAGGTTAAAAAGCCTTTTCATTATAGCTTTAGATTGCAGTCTCTGTCTTCACAGTAACTGTAACTAAACTTCACTGCGTCTGAGCAAAATTTTGCTGCTGCTGACCACCCATCATAACCACTACCCCATATCTTTAATATCCTCTGCAGTTGTAATACAGCTTCCTGTCCTCCCTTCGAACTTGCAGAGGCTCAATGAGATAATGTGACACTACAACTTCTTCTTCCTCATTAGCTGTGAATGAGACAATAGATAAGCATTCCCTCTGTACTCAAACAACACATAAATGTAGGTTTCTAAAAGGAGAAGGTGTTTGAATGCATGCATGTTGTTACTGACATGATAATGTTATCGAGGCCTCACTCTTCCAGGAAAGCCAAGGAAGCCGGTGCATGTTTATAGACAGACTATAATCCAATCTAAAAAATAAGTAGGTTTAGTTACTTACTGCAGAATGTATAATATGGGGAAAATGCAAAATTAGCCTGAATTCTGTTTTTTATGCAGTTTAATGAGTATAATGCAGATCATCACTCATTCACCAAAGTCTACTCGACGGTGGCTTAAATTAAATTATGAGCCTATCCCAGCATGCACTGGGCAAAATGGAAGCAAGGAAACTCACAGGACCTGCCACAAGGCAGTAAATTCAAAAAAGATTTCTAGGTAAATTTAAATTTAAAGTTTAATAAATTAGAAATAAGTCAAGCTCTCAATACTTGTTCCACAAGACCTTAACAAGTATTTGAGAAGAGTTTGTTTGATGAACATGAGCACGTTCAGCCTCTTACCAATTAAAACTATGAGTCATTCATTTACACAAGTTCTCTTTCATGTTCCTACTGTTTGTTGATTTGGACCTGATTCACTCAAATGTGATTTAAAATCAATTTGCATAATTCTCACTGAGAAGCAGTTCATAATTTTTTTTCAAATTTTTGTCAGTAGTTACACAAATTAGCGTAGTTCCAAGATCTTTAGCTGAGCTTAAACTGTTTGGTTACTAAATCCACACCTTACCGCCTTGGTTACCCCAGAAGGTTAAGCAATAGATGGTGACTTCAATACAAAATAATGTTGCAAATGTTAAAAGCAATAACCACAGCTGTGCTAATTGCCAATTACATGAATATCTGAATATGACAAGCTTTTTATAAAAAAAAAAACAAAACAGTTCTCATCACGAAATACACAATTAGTTCATTAATTCAAACCTGATTATCAGTCTAAACTATATATAGTCTAAAACTATGCTAAGTTGTGATGGAAGAAAAACCTACTTACCAACACCTGAGTCACCAGCACATGATGAGCTCTCCAGCAGCAGCAGGTTGAGAGACACCCAGATGGAGAAGACGCTAAACTCTATTTTACGAAATAAATAAGGGATGAATATCATAACCGCATTGTAAGAAATCATCTTCAGTGGGCAGATTTTGTACAAAATAAATTTTGAACTCACCTCTCATGACTTCCTCGAGTGGCTCAAGGGTCCAAGGATGGGTGAATTTAAAAATTTAAATAAAATTTTAAAAAATTCACAGCGTTACTCTGTTTCTAGAAAGAATATTTAAAACTCTCTCCAAAATAACGCTAACTGACATGGTGTTAGTGGCTTTATAACATCAGCTGTCAAGAATGGGCGGTACCACAGTTTCCTCAACTTCCTCCATTTAGTCTTCAACAGAATTCAACAGAAGCCCACTTCAGTTGGCTCCACATAACTTTTTTAAAATAATTTTTAAACCCATCTAGCATGTCGGAGTAAAAATTTGTGTCTTCAGATGATGAAGATTAATGGTTTTCATGTGGCATTCAAATCATTATAGTCAAAGGAAAACTTTACAGCACTCTAACTCCACCTGCTGGCAAATTATAATATCATCAATGCCTTACTTATGAAACAAGCTCAGAGAATTTTAAATTAAAACCAGTGCGTTTTACAAAAATCAGCAGATACTTACCCAATAAACACCACATTACCCTTCATTAGAATTTACAAGGTAATGATAGAAAAATCATCAGGTTAATTAGCTACACCTCAACTACAACAGTAAAATGTTGCTTACACATGGTAATACTTATATACTTTTTACTCAAGTAACATTGTAAATGGACTTTTTCCTTAAAGGATATGGATTCTTCCTTCACCACTGGTGTATGGTATTAAGTTATAATAATCCATGGATGGACTTAAGTACCTTGGATGTTGACACAGTGAGGGCACCTACTGTTGGAAATAGAGAAACATCATAGAAACCTGTTGTCTTCTCAGATACACATATTTTATAAGGCAGACAGGGTCATTTTCTATTGCCCCCATGTAGAACTGGTTAAATACAGAGAAAGTAAACTATCATATGATGGTGTCATGGGATTCATTATGGTGGAAACAAGCTTTAAAGAAAAATATTAACATTGTATTTATATATTTGCCAGATTACAGGATCACAGGGCTCAAAAATTGTCGTTTTGCCTCTATTGACCCCCACTATTATGAAAATTTCACTATTTACCAGGCATCTAGACAGCAACCAACACAGATGAAATAGCTGATTAATCAATTGACATTAAATAAATTGTCTACAATTTTTGTAATTGATTCATTGTTTAAGTCAATTTTTTAAGTAAAAATGCCCAAGTTTTCTGGTACCAGCTTCTCAAATGTGAATATTTGCCAGTTTTCTATGATAGTGAACTTGACTGTTTTTGTCTTCACTTCAGAGAATAATGATGGGCATGTTCCCACTGTTTTCTTACATTTTACATACTGAACGCTGATTATTAAAGAAAACGATTATCAGTCAGTCACCAGTAGTGAAGTGGTTGTTCATAGGGATATAAATATACCAACTGTAGGTGTAACACTCTCCACCTTTTGTCGCTGTCCTATGGATTAGTTCTGTTGTCAGCTTCCTTACTGTCTTTCCTCATTCCTGTACATATGATCCGTACATATGATGATGAGAAAGCAGAGAAAACTCCCTGCAGAGGTCAGCAGTCTATCACAAAAAGTAACAGACAAGCAGAACCCCTGACACCGGTGGGTAATCAATGTGATTTGGAATAAGGGTGGAAAAGAATAAACATGAAAACTGCTTGTTTGCAGCTGAAGAGGTTCCTTTCAAAAAACAAACCACACAGTGCAGCTGAGTTGCCAGGTTCTGATCTTTGATATCTTCCCACAGAGACATTATCTGAGCCAAACCTTTGTGAGATTTTTGCCTGTTGAAGTAACTCTCCTGAGTAATTTCCTGCATACTGTAGCAATTTTAGGACTAGCTTGTCTACAGTGTCCACATGGAGATAAGTTAAATCTTGACCAAAACATGTTCAGCTAATTATTTTAAACTTTGCAGACCTCTCAGATTGTTGCAATCTCTCTCTGAAGTTTCATATTATGTTACTGAATATGTTTTTGAAGTTAAAGCCGGTCAGCGTCAGAAAATAATTAACGTCATTTATAAGTAATTTCTTACCAGTGGCCTTGTAATTTCAGTTAGTTTCCCAATCACATCTTTTCTATAGTCTTATATCATGAATTTCTTCCTCCTTGTTTCTTTGACATCATCATTTCTGATTAAATGTCAGCAGCTAGTTCATCTTGACAACCAGAAACCACAACAGCAGTGATAAGGTTTCTTTCCATATCCTGTCATCTTCAAGGAGGGTACAGTATGTGTCATGCTTCACATGCCAAAACCATATGAGCTCAGCTTCTTGTCACTCTCGGACTAGATTGTACATTGTGCCAAGTTTGGTCCGTATGTGTTATAGGGTGTGTTTATGTGATTCTCCAAGGCTTTAAGACAGAGACGATGGCTTATAATTTTCCTCCAAATTTAAATATATATAGTGTTAACGAAGCGAAATGTTTTCGATTTTTGATTCTTCAAAGTACCCATTCTTGCTTTGATGACACCTTCGCACACTCTTGGCGCTCTCTCAACCAGCTTCAAGAGATAGTCACCTGCAGCAGGGCAGTTGTCCAATAGGATTTACATTATATAGGTTTGGTTTTTTTTATCTGAAGTAATGACACTCTGTTGTGACTTATGATATACAGCAGACAAAGTATTCTCATTAGCAAAAAAATGGAAGTCATTCTTTCTATCATAAAGACAGGACAGTGGACTAATCTTTTTTATCCAGATTGAAAAACCGTCCAGTTTTAACAGTTTTAACAAGTGGTAAAATACCAGATCTGTTTTACTTATATACACCACAATTCTCAGCTCCATATTCATATTTTATCATCCCAAACATTTAAGTTTTAGAACCAGTAAGTAAAACTTTTGATCTTTTGAAGGAGTAAATGAGGAGCACTTGAATGCAGCACTAATTTTCACTCCTCCCACTGCTTAAGTTGGGGTTTTCTGGGAACTGTAGGCATGTCTCAAGTGCAAAGACAAAAACCCATCCATCTTGGAAACTGCATCAGAGCACTCACAGATATTTTCACTCTCTTCACTCTGAATTTTGAAACATGCTCAGATCTATCGATTCTTGGTGTTTTCTTTCTTTTCAGTGCTTTACGTTTTCCTGGTGTTTATTCTTGAAGTTTCCCCGCTGTGGGCATCAGCACATCACTCTCCACTGGATGTTCACTACACCAACAGACCAGCCTCTGCAGCTTCAAACAGCAAACTGTATGTGAATTACATTCTGTTTCCTAGACATGATTGATATGAAAAAGAATGGGACACATCAGGAACTAATTATCAAATCATCATTTCCCGCCTTACAAGTGCCTGAAAAGGACTCCCTATCTGCGCTGGGCTCATAGACATTCTGCTGGTTGCCATGGTGCGGTTGGCGCAGGCTGCAAACCGAGGCTCAATGCTTCCTATGGCATTCCTGGTAATTGAGATCAGATGCTCCTCTGAGTGGAACCTGGACTGGGAGTAACCTGGAAGCATTTATTTTATGGAGAAGATGTTTAGTTAAGCCGTGCTCCCGCTCTAAATGAGCCTCGGTCCGGCTCTAGTGATGAATACGATTGGTGAAAGCACTGAAGGCTGGTTCCTGACTTCTTCCTTCCCCCGGATCAGGTTACAGATTAGCAGACTTCCTGTCCAGTTGTGGAGCAAGCCAATCCAAATGACGGAGAGGCGATGGGCGTGCGGGCGAGGGCATCATGTGTTAGCTCAGTTGGGGTTTCTGACAGAGCCACACAGCGGTGGGTCCTCACACAGCCCACTAGGTATCATTTGTTAAACCTGTTAGAAGCAGCTGATTGTGGAAGAAGACAGACCTCCTCTGGAGTCAGCTGGTGGTCCACCTCTAGGCTATATATACTCAGTTGGCAGTTTATTAGGTACACCTAGTTAAAACTAATGCAGTCTAATATGACAGTCCTGCAATAAATCTGATCTTCGTAATGGTTAAAATGTTCAGTTTTTATTGAAGAGAGGCGTTTCTATTATTTTGTCCACCCTATTTACATCAATGAGGGTAGGTTATACATTGGGAGCAAAAACTGACCAAAAAGTTGCATCAGCAAAAAAACTGATCATTATAACTTTCACAACAGGAGGATTTATTGCAGGACTGTTGCATTGGACTGTATTAGTTTCAGCTAGGTGTTCCTAATGAACTGCCAGTTGAGTGTAAGCAGTGACAGGGCATCAATTCGTGTTGGCTGACTGTACTTAAAGCTGCACTCGTCAATATTTTTTACACAAACAACGGATTAAATGACTATGTGTAATGTGAAAGGTGACACAGATAATTATCCCAGCAGGCCACCAACATTGTTAGATGCTGGTATTTGGTTGAATGTAGATTGTGACAGGTGACCAAAATTGTGACCAAGATTAAATTGTCTTTGTATGTAACCAAAATCCAACTTCTTCCAAACATCTCACGCCAACGCCAAAGCTCTGCTTAACATCACAATGTCAGTTAGCCGGTGTTCGGTTTTGATGTCATTAGAGACCATCATCTTTCTGATGTTACATTGCTGTTCGTTACCTGCTGGGATCATCTGACTCTGCACTGCAGTCGTGGGGCTTTTTAACCCCTTTTAGCTCATTGGTTTTTTTTTTTTTTTTTTTTTGGCAAGAAAACGTGACTCTAATCTGGCAACCACAGCAGGTAGCTATTTTCAGCAAAAACTGACTGAATGCTGCCTGTCAAGCAATATGTTTTGATACGTCATTTTAATAATGCTGTTGTTGCTAAATGTGGATATTGTACTGTGCAATCACATAATGAATTAATTTTGCATGATATCATTGCTTGTTTTACTAAAGTAAAAGCTCTGACCATTTCTACTACTGCGCGTACACCACCTGTTTTGATGCTGGCTGAGCTTAATTCACTCACATACTGTAGCTTATCAGTTACTGGGTGCACATATTGTTCTGTGAGCAGGGTTTAGGAGTTCACAGTCCTCAGACATCTACACTACATGCTGTAAATGATCTGAGGTTCATGGGAGGAGCAAAATTTGGACTCATTCATCAGCTGTCAGAGAGCTGGCACAGTTCACCATAGAAAAACACAGAGTCCCCTCACTGTAATTTCGTCACTCTGCACACAGACCACGTTTTTAGAGTTTCAAGCATCTAGGGTCCAGACCTCAAATGTTAAGGGTGCAT